TACTGAATCTTCCTCTTTGTTCCCGACTTTTGCATTCCAGTCACCCATTATTATCAATGCATCTTGGTTGCATATTTATAGACAATAAAAATTTGGTTTTTTTAAAAAATATGGGCAATCTACTTCCATGCGATTAAACTGCCTCTGGAAACCCACTGGAGGGTCAGCTATCAGTTGGTTCCAACTCAGTGGTACCCAACAACAACAATAATACATAGGCATTCAAAAGTTCATCTGCAAGAACAATGGAGCTCTCATAAGATTATGAGAACAGTGGAACTCATTACGAAAAGTAGCTCTGTGTTTGAGGATTACAGAGAATGCAATACTAGCTATACACACAGGTGTGCACATGCATGTACATATGCACTCTCTCTCTCTCTCTCACACACACACATACAGATGAAGGGAGGAATACAATATGAAGAGAAGGCTTGCTTTGGACTAGCTAAGAAACCATGTTCAAATGCTACTTACCAGAACACTGAAAGCCATTGCCTTTATATCCCTGCTTGCATTTACACTTGAAGGATCCTTGGGTATTGAGGCAATTGGCCTGGAGACTGCACATATGTGTATTCACAGCACATTCATTTATATCTAAAAATGTAGACATTACAATGAATAGCTTAGTGGTCATAGAGCTTGTTGACAGAGAACCCCTTAAACTTGAGCAACTCCAAGGCCAGCACACTCTCCACAGACCAAGTATTGCTGAGAGTGAGATGTGTTTGAGCCTTCAGGTGCTTTGGCTGAGAGCCCTGGCTTTGGCTTAAGCTTGCTGTGTGGCAAGTGTGTCTATGGCTCAGCTCCCCACCCCAGCAATTTCCATCAATGCTATTGAAATCTCTATGCTTTCTGGTTTGCTCCTTAACTTTTCTACTAGTCTCATTTATAACTAAAGAACAATATCAGAAAATGAATTTTAGATTTGAAAGGGCTTGGAGCTCCTAACTAAACAAAGGACAAACTGTACTAGGAACCACTGACATCATCTGAATTTAGAGGAACAAACACTTTGTTCCAAAGACCACCAGAAGCAAGAGCCAAGCTGGTCTGATCTTGCCTGCTGGATTTAGACTTGGAAAGTTTGTCAGGTTTTACCGGAGTAAGATGTTCATCAATCCTATCCTCCATCTCTGGAGTTCATCTGTAGATATAGGCACACAAAATAGCCTATTGTTTTTAATTGAGCCACAAAGGGAGCTTAGATGCTAATCGTCATCATTTTTAAAATCAGAGAGGTTAATTTCCCCTTGAATCTCCTTCCACTCTGTCTTGTGATCCTCTGTTTAGGTCTCTGTTTAGGGACTAGGCTTACACCCCCCCTGACATAGCACCCCCTGACACAGCATCATTGGATTAATGAGCTCCATGGGACTTGCTGGAGGGCATGGAGGACCCTGAAGAAAAGGGATCTTGAGAGCTTGTCTATAATGGTCTTTGTGCTTGAAAAATTGGAAGGAAAAGCTGTGGAGGCTGCACAAGACTGTTCAAAACCCAGAAACCAAGCTTTGCCCTGACACGATCATGCAGGACAAGTCATGGGAAGCACCAAGTGCAGGGTTGAAAGAAATCCTCCCCCAGCTGCTAGCTTTTCATGTCAAGTGCATACCTTTGTTGCCCATATTATGTGAATATGGAATAAAAGGAGCCAAAAATTCTCTTCACTGTAGGTGGGGCCTCAGTGATGTCAATGGGAGTTCATCCAGCCTTCAAGATGACTGCACTTCACTGGCTCATTGAGGGCTGTAATCCCTCCATTAAGGAATGCAAGTGTTTTATTGCATTCCCATTGGACCAGCAGTTGGTTGATACCAGTATCTTGCTGGAAAGTAGTTTCTATGGCTATAGAATGGGATCTTTCCGTATGTGAAAGGATGGCAAAAGGATAGGAGCCCAAGCCTCTATCTCCTTCATGAATTTTCTACAGCTACCTCAATGGAAACTTGTGAACAGACCACTGAGAGGCCTATTTACACTTCCTTTATGAAAAAAATGAATACTTTGTTAGTTTCTGTTTTCAGATGTGTACCTGGAGACAGACAAGACACACACACACACACACACCCCTCAAACAAATAAAAAACCCAAGCAAAACAAAACAAAAATCAACCACATTTAAAAAAAAAATTCATGAAAATCATTTCAAGATGTTTTGCCCTATGGTAGAGCAATATAGACTGAAGTTCCTTACTTAATTTTTTTTTACAGAAGTTATTTTTATTAGTCAGGAAAGTTGGAGTATTTTTTATTTAAATAAAATTTCTGTTTTATACTGTTTTACTTACAAGTTTGTATACATTGTTTTTCATACTGTATCTTTCCCATTTCCTTTACCCACTTACTTTAAATTTTTGTTGACCTGGCATCATGTAATTCCTTCCACTAGAATTTACTGAATATCAGAAATCTTGAAAAGATAACTCATTGTTAAGCTGGCCTTACATACAGCAATTTGATTGTTCAAATAATATATTGGCTTGACTTAAAAATAGCTATATAGGTTTGATGAGGAGAGGAAGAGAAGACAAGGGGCCACCTGAAGCTTACCTACACAGTCGTATCTTCTGTGGACATATTTCAGTTCAAAGCCAATGTGGCATTTGCAGTAGTAACTTCCAAATGTGTTCACACATCTTCGATTGTAGGGACAGACAGCTTTGTCAGAAGCACACTCATCAATATCTAAGATGTAGAAGCAGAAGGTATTGGTGATAATAATACAAATATCTACCTGTTCCCAAAAAGGAGCTCTGATGGCACAGCTCACAGGAAGTTGTGCTGCTAACCCCAAAGCAGCACTTTTCTGGTGATTTGAATCGATCAGCAACTTCATGAGAGAAAGATGGGCAGTCTCCTCCTGTGTAGTTTACAGCCTCAGGGAACCCACTGGAAGATCTGCTATGAGTCTTTTCCAACTCAACTTCAGTGAGAAATATTCCTAAAAACATTTACATGAAAACATCCACATACATCCACACACCTTTTGTGCCTGGAAAACCATGTCTATTCAACTGCAACATCACATCCTCCATGAAGTGTATGTAGATCCCTCTAGGAATACTCATAGTTCTTTCCTTCATGTATCTGTTATTTTGACTATCTCTTTATAGAGGTAATAGTGATCTTAGTATAGTGCCATTACTTATACGGACATACCTCATAGAGGATTGGTTCCAGGACCTCTGTGGGTACTAAAATCTAAGACTGTTCCAAGTCAGATATATAAAATGGTGTAATATGTGCAAATAACCTGGACATATTCTCCTATAACTTTAAATCTTCTCTTGTTCTTGTTAGGTTCTGACTCATAGCAACCCTATATACCACAGAGTTAAACATTGCCCATCATGTGCCATCCTTACAATTAGTGCCTTCAATATAGATTAGACCTCTACATAAATAAAACAAAATCCTTACAACTAGAACAATACATAGCATCATGATAGACTGAGAAAAAATTGCACTGTCAGTGATTTAATGTTACTTGGTTCCATAATAAACCCCACAGTAGTTGTTGTTGTTGTTATGTCCCATTGAGTCGTTTGCGACTCATAGCGACCCTATGTACAACAGCCCTAAACCCTGCTCTATCCTGTGCCAATCGCACTGCCTCTGACACACCCATCCCAATTACCCCAGTCACAGAATCAATCCATCTCATAGAGGGTCTTCCCCTCTTGCGCCGACCCTCCACCCTCCCAAGCATGATGTCCCTCTCCAATGGCCTCTCCCTCCTTGCAACATGTCCAAAGTAGGTCAGACGAAGCCCCAGAATCCTTGCCTCCAAGGAGTAGCCTGGTTTAACCCTCTCCAGAATAAATCTGTTTGTTTTCTTGGCAGTCCATGGTACATTCAATACTCTTCTCCAGCACCACAGCTCAAAGGCATACATTCTCCTTCTGTCCTCCCTAGTCATTGTCCAACTCTCTGATGCATAACAAGCGATTGCAAAGACCATGGCCTATATCACGATCACCTTAGTCTCCAGAGAGACACCGTTGCTCTTGAGTACTTTAGAGAGGTCCCTAACAGCAGACTTTCCCATCACGATACGTTTTTTGATTTTTGATTTCCTGGCTGCTGGTGCCAAGAGTGTTGACCATGGAGCTGAGCAAACTGAAGCTGTGAACAATCTCAGTCTCTTCGCCATCCATCCTGATGCTACCAATTGGTCCAGTGGTGAGAATCTTTGTCTTCTTGACATTGAGCCTCAGTCTATACTGAGCAGTCAGGAAATCAAAAGATATGCTATAGTGGGCAAATATGCTGTCATGGACCCCTCCAAAGTCTGAAAGAGCAACGATGTCACTTTAAGGTCTAAGGCACACTTGAACCAAGCTATGATATTTCCAATTGCTTCATATGCAGATGACAGTTGAATAATGAATAAGGGAGACTGAAGAAAAAAATCAGTGCCTTTGAGTTGTGGTGTTGGATAAGAGTATTGAATATGCCATGGACTGCCAAAAGAACAAACATCTAAGAGAAATTGTAGCCAGAGTGCTCCTTTAAAGGTAAGGACAGTGAAGCTTTGTCTCATATACTTTGGGCATGTTGTTAGGAGGGGCCATTCATGTTTGGAAATGTGGAGGGTTGGCAAAAGAGAGGAAGGCGCTCAATGAGATGGATTGATGTAATGACTGCAGCAATGGGCTTGGGCATGGCAGGTATCATGAGGCTGGCACAACATAGGGTAAGGTTCAGATCTGTTGTTAATGAGTCATAGTCTACTCAATGGCACCTAACAACAATTTTCAATAGTTTCACATTTTTAAAAATTAAGTACTTTTTTTTAAAAAAAAAGAGATTAAAAACAAATCCAATTGATCTTTAAAATCTTGCTTATTGAAAAAAAAATAAAAACAGTGGAGGCTCTGTTGGATGGTGTTATGGAGCAAATAGTGTTCCTCACAAATATGTATTGAAATTTTTTTTTATGTATTGAAATTTTAACTCCTGTACCTGTGAATGTGAGTCTGTTTGGGAATAAGGAGATTATTTTGTTATGATAATATCATAAGGTGAGTAAACTTGATCACTTTGGACTGATGTCTTTAGAAAAAGAGCAGACTGGTCAGAGGCACACCGGCAGAGTGTGACAGACAGCATGATCACCCATAAGGAAAGGAATGCCAAGGATTGCTGGCAGATGCCAGAATCTAAGAGACAGTCCCCGCAGAGGGAAGTGACTTTCCACCAATCCTGAGTTGGACATCTGGCCTCCAGAACTGTGAGAAAATACATACATTTCTGTTTTTCAAGATAGCCACTTCTGGTATTTTTGGAGAACTGATGCCTTTGAGCTGTGGTGCTGGAGAAGAGTACTGAGAATACCATGGACTGCTAGGAAAACAAATAGATTTGTCCTGGAGAGGGTTAAACCGGGTGGCTCCTTGGAGGCAAGGATTCTGAGGCTCCGTCTAACTTACTTCAGACATGTAGTGAGGAGAGACTGGTCCTTGGAGAGGGACATCATGCTTGGGAGGATGGAGGGACGGCGCAGGAGAAGAAGGCCTTCTATGAGGTGGATTGATTCAGTGACTGGGATAATTGGGATGGGAGTGTCAGAGACAGTGCGATTGGCACAGGACAGAGCGGAGTTTAGGGCTGTTGTACATAGGGTCGCTATGAGTCGCAAGCGACTCGACGGCACATAACAACAACAACAACAATTCTATAGCAGCTTTGTTATGTCAAGTCAGAACTGACCCATAGCTGACCCTCCAGTGGGTTTTCAGAAGCAGTAATTCACACTCAATGAAATTGCCCTTCGTTCTCTCCCAGAGCAGCTGGTGGATTCAAACTACTTTCCTTTGGGTTGGCAGCACAACTCCTCACCACTCCGCTAGCAGAGCTCTCTACAGCAGCAGTAGATAATTAAACAGAAAACCCCAGACCTATTGCCGTGAAGTCAATGCCAGTCTGGTGAGCTGTCAAGCACACTTTGTGCCACCCAGGGACCAAGTAACTAAGACAGATGGAAATGGAAAAAAACTGTTTAAGGCAAATATATTAAGAGAACACCCCCCCCACTAAAGCATTGAAAACACCACCACCAGCAGCAAAAATCCACCATCATTAAGTTGAATCTGACTCATAGCAACTCTCCACTGGGATTCCAAGGCTATAAATCTTTATGTGAAGAGACTGTCTTCTCTCTCCCACAGAGGGCCTAGATTTGAACCACTCAACTTACAGTTAGTGGCCTGACAGGTTATGTGTTATACTATCAGGGCTTCCAGATAAGGCACCGGTCAATTGAAAATAAGATCGAAGTGTTCTTTTTTCTTTTTATTTTATTTTATTATTTGTGTGTGTGTACCGTCAAATCAGATCTGACTGGTACAGGAGGAGGATGCTCTTCCCCGGCAGAGCATCTGGTGGATTTGAACCGTGAGCCTCTGGGATTGCAGTGCAGCTTCTTGCCACTAGGCCACCAGAGCTCCCCTTGAAATGTTCTTTTTAACACTCCAGAGCATGTCTTGAGATTGTGTTGCTAAGACTGTCATCTCAAAAAAAAAAAAGAATGTCATCTCAGAAGTGGACCTAGATCTGTACTTTCAGGAGTTTCTGATTTCTAGTCAATAAACAGCCCAGGAAGAATAGAATAGAAAGTACTCAGGAAAGGGAGGCCATGGCAGGAGCAGTGCTGCTGCTGCGGCAGTTCCTTCCTGTTCTACCTGTGCAGACTCTTCCGTTGGGAGCCAGGCGGAGTCCTGGGGATGGGCATAGGCACTGAGGCCCGCCTTCTGTGTCTTCACAGCCGTACTGACAGCTTGTCATGGCACATGTCCTAGAGTCTGAAAAATGCAGGCAAACATTAGCCACTTCCTCCCAAACTATTAGAAAGTGCTTCCCATGAACTGATTATGAATGTTAGGATGTTAAACGGGACAGACAGGTGGGACTGAGAGGTGAGAGGCGAGCATCATAGTCTAAGTCTGAATGGAAGCTATGGCCTGACTTTGGTTCATCTTGTTGGCTGACACACTAAGCTGGGTTTTCTGTAGGGTGTGCATGAAGACTGCCTCTCCTGGTTCATGTGCACCCTTATGTCACCTGACTGGCTTCTCTAGGTGGAAATGCAACCTCAGATAGAGATTCTCAGTCTGAGCAATTAGGGTAAAGGAATCTATTCTAGTGAGCTCTCTAATGAGTCACCCGAGTCAAGAGACCTGGTCTTTAGGGGCTATATTAAGACATGGGGCAGATACAAGTTTGAAAGCCATTCCAGGCACCCTGTTCTCTTGCCACTTTCCACTGCTGAATCTTATTTATCTTCTACACCACCTCCCTTGGACCAAAGCATAGACATGTGACTCATTTGGGACAAAGGGAAATAAAGATAAGTGGTAGATATGGGGTTTATGCCTCATGATAAATGAAATGTTTAACTGTATCACCTCTGTCCTATCTTGAATACAGATGTGATATGTGGAAAGGGGCAGCCACAATGTGATCAGGAGGCTATAAGCATGAGAATAAAATAAATGCTCCAAAGTTGACAAAGACTGAGTCCTTGATAAGGTGCTCTGGAACTATTGGACACTGGTTGTTGGTTTTAAGTTTATTTTGGTCACTTGCTGAACATATCCAAATAACTCACAAAAATATATCTACTTAACAAAGATCTAGCATGTTTGGGTTAGAAGTACATGGATATTAGAAAGCTCACGTAACTTTAGCCCAAGGAGCACAAGGCAGACTTCCTCTATCTGCCTTCACACTACCCATGCTAGTCACTCAGCTGGACAAAGACGCCACCAGGGGGTCAAGTGGAGTAACACCAGACTCCAGAGGTGGTGAAGGCTATGAACAGGAGGAAATGGGTAACCCCTGCAGAAGGAGAAATAGACAAGAGGAAAGAGGGATAGAGACCCAAGTCAAGGTACCATAACAAGCACCAGTTGATGTTTCTGGTTTCTTCTTTCTCTTATCTTCTCTTTATTCTCGTTCTTTTAAAGCTAATATTTAAGATGAGCTCAATTTTATCTTTCCATTTAGGGGACACGATCTTTCTTTTTTGGCACTGATGAGACTTTCATGGAATGTTTCAGAAACATCCATTAACATTTGTCTTTTTAGAAATGTAAAGTGATCACTATAAAAGCCTAAATGTGACGGTAGGGAGGTTCTGGGAAGGTTCTGTTTGGTGATGGTTGCAAGAATGCTCATAATTTAAGAATTTGTGGAGTGATATATTTGTTTTGGGTGGGTTTCTGTTTAATTGCAGTAAGGTTGGATTTGTAAATAATCTCCCTCCCCTCTTCCAAATGCCTGCTTTCTCTCTTCCGCCTATTTTTTAATGGAGGATCTGGATGACCTGTGGTGACTGGGCCCCTGGCCCGGGAGGGACAGGACAGGGAGGAACCAGGGAGCAGTAAGTGGTCTACTGTCCAAGATTTTATAACTACCAGAAAGCTGGGAGATAGTCTTTGCACGTGAACAGTGACTGTTACCAAAGGAAGCTAGTCAGCATCTGGAGTCATGGGGACTGGATGGAAACTGTGTCAAGGATGTGAGATTCTCAGTATATGAGGGGATTTGGTTGGGGCAAAAGGCATGAACCTTTCAGGTTCACTAGGGAGTATCGGACAGTGGTTAGCCCCTATGTGGTTTAAAGGGTCAACACCGTCCTGTTAAGCTGCTAGCCAAAAGCTTCTGGAGTCATTCTACTCAGAAATGCCTAGAAGAAAGTCTTGGCCATCTATGTCTGAAAAAACACCAAACTCTAGGGAGCATAGTTCTACTCTGATACAGAAAGGTTACTGTGAGTCACAGTTGAGTGATGGTAACATATATTTTTTACTCTATGGAGAGAGGGGAGGCAAGAAGGGATGAGAGGAGGCAAGGGTGTGGGATTGTCTTTTTTTTTTTTAACTCTTTATTTGATGGTGCATGACAAAATGGGCTCTCTCTAAGCCTCTTCCATTTCTTGGGGAGAGTGGATGGAAACTGAGTCAAGGATGTGAGATTCTCAGTGTATGGGAGGAATTGCGTTGGGGCAAGGACACCCTAACAGCTGAGAATCTCACTCTCTTCTAGTGCCATTGCTGGGGCTGGTGGTCCAAGGGGCTCTTATTCTTTGGAGTCATGTAAACCATCAAGTCAACTACTCAGTTGCTGTAGCCAGATTCCTCATCATTCTAGGAAATGAGTTTGACAAAGTGGCAAGGACAGACCCAGCATCAAAGGTGGAAGAGTAGATGTCACTGTTGAAATCACAGGAGATAACCTGGTCTTCCGTGTATCCCAGGATTCCCTTAAGAGGCCCTTCTGATGCCTTCTTTACTATTTTCTTGTTGTCATCATATTTGGCAGCTTTCTCCAAATGGCAGGTCAGATCCATGACTGACACATCGAGGGTAGGGGCACAGAAAGCCATGCCAGTAAGTTTTCCCATTCAGCTTCGGGATGTCCTTTCCCACAGCCTTGGTAGTGCAGCTACATGTCCATCACACCATAGCTTTCCACAGTCTTCTTTCTGAGTGATGGTGATAGCACGGATTATGGTCATGAGTACCTCTACAATGCCAAAGTTGTCATGGGTGATCTTAGCCAGGGGGGGCCAAGCAGTTGGTGGTGCAGGAGGCATTGCTGACAATCTTGAGGGAGTTGTGATACTTTTCATGGTTCATGCCCATCACAAACATGGGACATTGGCAGAAGGAGCCGATGATTACCCATTTGGCACCACCCAGTTGTGAAGATACCAGTGGACTCCACAACATACTCAGAACCAGTATCACCCCACTTGATGTTGGCAAAATTTTGCTCTTGGAATATCGTGATGACTTTCCCATTGATGATAAGCTTCCCATTCTCAGCCTTGACAGGGCCATTGAACTTGCCATGGATGGAATCATACTGAAATATATAGACCATGTAGTTGTGGTCAATGAAGGAGTCATTGATGGCAACAACATCCACTTTGCCAGAGTTAGAAGCAGCTATGGTAACCAGGCATCCAATGCGGCCAAATTCGTTTACCTTCATGATTGTATCTCAGGGATGTGACTTGGGCTGCACGAAGAAGAGAAGGCTATCTGCTCACCAACTAAGAGTAGAGAGCCTGGGATTGCCTTTCAGTGGCAACATAAAACCTGAAAAGCCTTCCCTTCCAACAAAGAAGAAGATAGAGACTCTCACCCTCCCACAGGACGTGGGTTTCCTTTATCACAGAAGGGCTTTTCTTTTCAGGAATGTGAGTCGTAATATATTTCCAAGCATAGTCACTAATCTTTGAGAGTGGGGCAAAGGGCTTGAGAAAGGTGGTTGGTGGGAAGAGCTGGTGTCCCTGCACAGAATTGATCACCTTCCTAAAACAATGGTCTGTTCAACATGCCACTTTGGAAGAAGAAACTCCCCTTTTATAGATAATACCTCTTCTCTCTAGCATTTAGTCTTTTTATTTAAAAATTAAGTGCCCAGAATAGTGAATTCATAGCAATAGCAGATTAATGGCTTCTAGGGTTAGTGAGTAATTGCTTAAAGGGAATGGGGCTTTCTCTTGTGGTGGTGGCTGTACAACATTGCCAGTGTACTTTGATGTCACTGAGTTGCACACGTTAACATGGTATTTTAAAATGGTATACACATTCACGTTTATGTGTTTTTGTAAAAACAAATGTCTAAAGAGATTTTAACCTGATGTGATATTAGAACTTTTTAACTTTTAAAGCTTTTAAAATTTCCCCAAACGTCAGGTGGCCAAAGATGAACTGCCAAGGTTGTCTGAGAGCTGCCCAGTTGTTACTTACTCGCACAAGTGGCATCTGGCATTAGCATGTAGCCACTGAGGCAAAAGCACTTGTAGCTGCCGTGGGTGTTCACACATCTGTAAGGGCAGGGCCGAGGGCTGAAGCCACACTCATTCACATCTGTGGAGTTCAGTCAGAAAACAGAGAAAGGTCAATTGACTGAGGAACATGTGAGCGTATAATACTGAACCTCAGTATTGCAAAGGACAACTGGGTTGGCTTCTTGGGACCCCATTTGTGAAGCCTTCTTCTCTGACCATCTTTAAGATTCTACTTTGAAAGGTTGTAAAGATGTTGTTATGACATGGTGTCCCCAAAAAGATATGTTGGAGTTTTATCCCTGTACTTGTGAACCACAACCTATTTTTGAAATAAAGTCTTTGAAGATATCACCAGTTAGCAGGACTTCATACTAGATAGAGTAGGGTGGGTCTTAATCCAATCTGAGTGCTCTACTGATAAAGGAGGAGTGTAATATATACAGAATTACTATGGGAAGGCAATACTAAATATTTTTAATAAACTGAATGCTATTTCAGGGTGTGAGGAAGGCCCAGTCCAAACTGGAGTTCACCCTGAGGCACTAAGGCAATCCTTAAGGGTTTACTGGATTCTTGCATTGTGTTTACTGACCCCTCCCTCCAGAGTCAATGGAAGGTTTTCAATAGAAAGAGCTTGGCTTCATTCACATTGTGATTTACTTCCTGATAATTTTCAGTAAATATCTGGGGAAGCTAGAATGGGGCCCTTCAGTCTATGAAACTGCTGTCTTATGCTCTCTGTTCTATCTCATTCTTGGCTGTTTGTCTTGTTATTAATAATTATAAAAATACTTTACCCTTGGTCTGCAACAAGTTACACACATAGGGGAATAGCCATGTCAAGATGTAGGAAAAAAAAAAAAAAAGATGTAGAAGCCAGAGTGCCAGGAAACTCCTACATGGAGCTAGCAGAGTTAGAAAAGGAAAGAACAGATCATCTTGTAGAACTTTCAGGGAAAGCATGGCGCTGCAGACACCCTGAATTTAGACTCAGCCTCCGAAAGTGTGAGACATTTCTTTTGTTTCAAGCCACCTACTTCATGATGTTGTTGTTGTTAAGTGTCATTGAGTCACTTGCGGCTTATTGTGACCTGAAGGTTGTTGCCCCAAAGCAGCAAGGCCCTAAGATCTGCCATGCTGCATGAAGTTTGCTGGACCATGTGGAGTCCGCTGCCCCTGCACCAGGGAACACGAATATCACAGGGAGGTGGAGAGAAAATCAGAGGATGGAGGTTGTGGGAGGCCTGAGCCATGGCTAGAAGTAGGGTATGGCAGATGCTGGAGAGGCAAGGGGAGGGAACTGAGCTGGATGCTGGCAGGGTGAGAACACAATGCGTGGTCCCAGGACCAACACCTGATCTGTTATCTGAATACTTTCAACTCTTTTGAGTAAAATGCTTGCCTGTCAAATATTGCTCTTAAGCAGAGCATCCAAATTAAGACAGACTAGAGAGAAGGATTGGCCAATTTTGTATCTCTCGGAAACTAAGCTAGATGGAATAAATGGAACACTGTTCCAACACTGTTGGGGGCAATGTAAATTGGTATAACCACTTTGGTAAATTGGTGCAGCCATTTTAGAATGCTGATAGAATCTGCTAAAGTTATATTCATCCATGACCTAGTAATTTCACTTTTGAGTAATTATATCACCCCACTTCCCCACAGATGGAATTTTTCTAGCCTCATAAACTCCCAAAACAACTACCATCCCATCAAATCAGAACTGGCCTATAGGGTTTCCCAAGCTGTCATCTTTATGGAAGTAGAATGACTTATCTTTCTCCCGAGGAGCTTCTGGTGGCTTCGAATCACCAACCTTTTCTTTTTTTCCCCCTATAATTATATTTTATTAATTTTCCTAAACATTTACAGAGATTTTGGGTTTCCATTCATTCATTGTTGCACTATTCTCTCTACCCTCCTCCCAGTTTGTTCTTGTCCAAATGCCACAGTGCTTGTCAAAGCCAGTTCTGATCAATCTTCTTTGTCAGTGTGTCCTTTTCCATTCCCTGTCACTCCTCCCTGAGAGAGACTTCACCCTGAGTCATAAGGAAAAGGGGATGGTGTATTCTCTTAGCTACTTCCTGCTGAAAAGGGACGCTGTGGGTTTCAGGGTGAAGATCTTCTCTCACTACTCTAAAGGGCCCCTTTGGCAGTAGGAAACACATAGACTATTATGGAGATTGATTTTGGAATTTAGATGCACTCTTATTGATTGGGCTTGGCCGTACATGTTCATATCCTTGAAGATGTATCATGGGGGTGTTGCAACCTAGAAGACACAAATTTGACTAACAAGTTATAAGTACATGAGTCAAAAATTATGGAAAAGTAAAAGAAAAGATTCTTTCATTGTTTTACAAACCCTCCCCCAGGTCCCCTCCACCATGTAGCCCTCGCTCTAGTCTCCTGTGATGATAGAAATACCTAGTTATATATCTCTTTTAAACAGTTTTCTCCCTCCTCTGTTTCAGTGCAGTATACATTATTGAACCCATCTTACTCAGTCTCTCCCTAACCCCAAGGACAGTCCCATTCTACAACAGTGGCATCATGTAATATTTGTCCTTTTGTGAGTGGGATATTTCACTCAGCATAATGTTCTCCAGAGTCAACCATTTTGAATAATATTGCATGAGTTCCTTGTTTTTTAATGCAGCATAGTATTCCATTGTGCGAATATACCACAGCTTCTCTAGCCATTCGTTTGTTGATGGGCACTTAGGTTGTTTCCAACTCCTTGCTATTGTGAACAAAGCTGCAATAAACATGGGTGTGCATATATCTGCTTGGATGTCAGCTATGGTCTCTTCAGGGTATATTCCCAGTAGTGGAATTGCTGGGTCAAATGGTATCTCTATTTGCAACTTTTTGAGAAAGCACCATACTGCTTTCCACAGGGGTTGCACCATTTTACACTCCCACCAACAGTGAATCAGGGTTCCAGTTTAGGAGTCAAGCACTTTCATCATTGTGCCACCAGGACTTCTTGTTTACCCTAAGTCTCTATAAAAGGACCCCGTCCCCCACCCCCCAGCCCTGTACAGAGACGCATGCAGATTTTATAGTCCTCATGTTCTCCCTCTTTTAATAGACCTCACCCCCTTTTGGAATCCACTCACTTCCCCTTTTCTGTCAGGTAGAGATGTTTACAGATTATTATCAAGTGGAAAAGGGAGGTTGTGAAACTAGATGTGCAGTTTGGTTTTAAGGTTATAAAAAATTAAAATACATAGAAAGAAGAAGACAAGGAGGGTATGTACTAAATGCTAAGAATGAGTCTCTCCAAGTAGTCAGCTTGAGCTGGAGAAGTTCTTCTCCATGTTTTTCAGGGTTTGTTTCCAGTTTCCGCCCCCCATGTTAATAACTGTGTTGTTGTTGTGTGCCGTCGAGTCAGACCAGACCCATTGCTGACCCTCCAGTGGGTTTTTAGAGGCAGTAAGTCACATGGAAGGAGATTACCCATCCTCCTCCCATAGAGTAGCTGGTAGATTTGAACCATGTGCCTTTCAGATTTCAGTGCAGCTTGTTGCCACTAGGCCACCAGAGCTAGTAAAATAAAAGCTATAAATAAGAAGGAAAAGAAAACTTAAAAGGAAACATAGTAGATAATTTTATCTTGGATGTGTAATCACATAGAAGTCTCATATCTTAGCTCTCTCAAGGAAAATACATTTAAAATAATAAAAACAGTTGCTATGGAGTTGACCTCAACTCGTAGTGACCCCTATATTCCAGAGTAGAACTGTGCTCTGATTTCAGGGACTGACTTCTCAGAAGTAGATGGTCAAGCTTTTCTTCCCAGGTGCCTCTGGAGGGACTTGATCCCCTGGATGGACCTTGATCCTCTAACCTTTTGGATTATTGAAAATGTGAACTGTTTGCATCATTGAAAATATGAACTGTTTGCAGCACTCAGGTACTCCAAGGAATAGAGAGAGAGGAGAAAGCAACCAAATTTCTTTCACATAAGAATTTAGTACACCAACAGGCAAAGTGGAGCCCCGAAAAATAAAGAACTGGCTAATTTTGTCTCTGAAAGGCCCCTTCTATGGGAACTTTCCAAGCACTGTAGCTGGACACTGGAAACCTCTTTCTTCATTCCCTCTGGCCTCTCCCCTACCATGTCCCTTAAGGATCCTAACTATTTCAAAAGAGGGATTTTAAAATGCCGATTGCTCATAATGGGAAACCCAGGAATGCCCCATCACTTGGCAATAACTCAGAGGTGACTCATTGGTGTTTTGGAAGGAGCATTTTTAGGAAAGACATCAGTTGAAGACTATGGCCTGAGGCCATTAATGGCTAACCATGAACTTGGAGGGGTCTGCCAGGGGGCAGAGAGGCTGAGGGTAAAGTCAGACAGCAACTTGAGCCAACTCCATGTTAATATTTTACTGAGACTTGAAAACTAGTATGAAAAATATCACTCAGCTAATACTCTTGAGAAGGTATCTTGATATAGAATCCAAAAACATATGGAAAAACAAGTTTGCTTGTGTGAAACCCAACTGAATTATTGCTTGTGAGTGTGATTCTTGGCACACACCTCTCCCACAGTTGAACTCAGTTCTCAGCAACACCTACTGGGCTCCGACCTCTATGCTGGTGGTAGGATAGAAGAAGAGTCAGTGGATCCTCCCTGAGGCTGCAGGATTGGGACCTCAAAGAGGAGGGATCTCAGTGTGGGCAGATGACCTTACAACCAAGTTGACCAAGTCAGTTAACCAAGGGCTGGGGATGGCAGAGCGGGCAGGAGCTGCTCCCTCTCCTTCCTAGAATTCAAGCCTCAGGGCAGTTGGACTTGATTTGCTGCTCTTTGCTCAGCTTTATTTTGAGATTGGGAGTCCTACATTATTGTACTTTTCTTTATGCTAGAATTTCCATATAACAAAAGTATCTTATCCTTGGAATGATTGCCATTTGAGGTCAGATCATTCGTAGTTGTAAGGTACTGTCTTTTTCGTTATGGGATGCTCGGCAGCATCCCTGGTCTCTACGCACTAGACTTCAACAAGTAAAGCAGATCTTTGAGATACAAAGAAGTGGCTGCTTTTACTAAATAATAAAAAAAATGTCTCCAGATACTGCCAGGTGTCCCCCACAAGGCAAAAGCACTCTAGATGAAAACCACTAATTGGCAGGATTTTTATCCACCATGATATTTAGAGCAGAGTTCCTTAATCTTGGGACTCCTGCTCTTTGGATTGAGCAGCAGCGCTGCTCTCAAAGATCTACTAGAAGGTGGTAGCATGCCCTCCAGTTCTCTTTAGACACTGTCATATGTCCTTTTGAGTGAAGTTGCCAGACTGAGCAAATCAAACTACAGGATGTCAAGTTAAATTTGAATTTCAGATAAACAGTGAATCCTCATTTGTTTTATTGTGTCCTGTACAATAAGGCATCCTGGTGACCCTTTAAAATAGTCCAATCACAATAGAGTTGGATTTCACTCCATGGCAGTGGGATATTGTGTCATGGAGGATCTAGGTGGCACAAATGGGTGATACATTCAGCTGCCTGCCAAAAAATAAAAAAGGAGATTTGAGGCATTTTGGAAGAAAGAATGGGAATCTGCTTCCCCAAAACACCAGCCATTGAAAACTCTGACACATAGTTCCACCCTGACACGCATGAGTCCATGTGAGAGGCACAAGTTTTATTCTTGGCTAACGCAACTCCAGCTCAGCCATCACCAGTCTGTCAGTGAAAGCTTGTGTGTTGCCAAGATGATCAACAGATTTCAGCGAAGCTGCCAGACTAAGACAGACTATGAAGAAAGTTCTGGTGATCTACTTCTGAAAATCAGCCACTGATTGTGGTCCGGTATTATTGTGGATGGCGTTCCCGTGAACTGTGGGCCAACTTGGTAGCGGCTAATAGTTACAACATATCGTGTCTTAAACCACCACAGCAATGACTAGATTGTTTCTGAATGCTCAGCCTTCCATCTGATATACTGACCTTGACTGCAGGTTTTCCCAGTGTATCCTGCAAAGCATCTGCATTTATTTGGTCCCACACACTCTCCAAACTTGCATCCATGGACACATGTAGCTGTGGAAGGAGAAGATGTATTGATGATACAAGAAGTGGAGTAGTTACCATGCACTGTTATTAAATTTTGTAATCACAACCACGAGGGGGGGGCAGCTTAATCTTAGGGTCGGACAATTTGAGGGGTGGAGGAAGGGGTGGGTAAAGGAGAAAAATCCAGTGTGAAAAACAATGTATGGTCTTTCAGTAATTTGCTATGCATCTGAGGGCTAGATAATGAAAAAGGATGATATTAAAGTCAACAAAGCATCATTAAAATTTTGTTATGGCTGGCAAAAAACAACAACAATCAAACCCCCCCAAAAAAACCAAATATAATCACTACCCATTTCTCAGAAAAATCCACGGGAGCATTATAGAAGGCAGTCAACTCACTCTAGTCTGTTTTCACTTTTAAGATCTGGAAACTACTTTGTGAACTAGATTAGCCTCCACCCCCGGATATGTGTGCAGCTTTGCTTAGTAAATATCCATAGTGAGAAAGCATGACTCAGCGATTGCCAAGGCATGCTGCTACCTTCTCTACTCATCATTTCCCTTGACGCTTAGGTTTACTTCTAAACATACATTCTCATAAAGACACAATCATCTTCTGTTTCAACTCTAGTCTCTATTGTTGGTGAATGACACCATTCTTCTCCCATTAAGAAAGACTCAAAATATCAGTCATCTTTCTTTTCTCTTGTCCCCAAACACAAATGATAACATCCTATGGAGAAGGAATGGAACAAACAAAGTCAAGCCTCAAGTTGCAATACTGAGATATGCTATGGGCAAAATCTTGAATGATCCAGGAAGTTTCAAAAGAAGCTTCAAAGTTACAGTACCAAAAAGAATTGTTCAACACAAATATTTCAGGAAGCAGCATATGATAAAGAGCCAATGATAATGAAGGAAGAAATTCAAGCTGAATTGAAGGCATTGGAAATAATAATAAGGCCCCTGAAATTGGTGGAATACCAACAGACATGGTGTTTGTTTGGTTTTTTTGTTTGTTTGTTTGTTTGGTTGGTTGGTTGGTTTTTTTGTTGTTTTTTATGAAATGCATTGTTTATTTTCCATCAACCTTATTTCCACTTCTTATTTTTTTTAAGTGTGTGTGTGTGTGTGTGTGTGTGTGTGTGTGCGCGCGCGCGCACGCGCGTACCGTCAAATCAGATCTGACTGGTACAGGAGGAGATTGTCCCTCCTTCCCCGGGAGAGCATCTGGTGGGTTCAAACCGTGCGCCTCTGGAATTCTATTCTGTGGTGGTGTCCACCCACTCAGTGGCCTGAGCTGTGGGGGCTGCAGACCAGTCTTCAGTTGCAGGCTGAGTACTCCAGTCTTTAGTAGGGAACTGCTGAATGGGCACAGAGGGCACCTGGACGCCTTCGGACCAGTCTGTAACTTCAAGCTGAGTGGCAGTGAATTCAGGAACAGGGGCCGTCCATTCTCCTTCTTGGTCACAGCCTTTTCAGCAGCAGCCTGTTCTTCCTTTTCAATCTCTTCCGGATCTCTGTAGAAGATCGGGCATGACCTCCTCCCACGGGTGCTCCCGGCAGATTGTGCCATGTATGCGCAGGACGTACCAGGCCAGCATCCACCACATCAGACTCACGGAGTGAGCTCCCTTGTTGCACGGGATAGCAATGTCTACGTAGCGCAGAGGAGAATCTGTGTTATACAGCGCAATGGTGGGCAAGTTGATGTAAGATGCTTCTGTCAGAGGCTGGTGGTCAGCCCTGGAATCAGTAACCGCCAGAAGACAAGGCTCCCGGAAGGCTGCCTGGATCTGGTTAGTGAAAGTTCCAGGAGTGAAGCGCCCGGCAATAGGAGTGGCCCCAGTAGCAGCAACAAACTTCAGAACAGCTCTCTGGCCAGCATTTCTGGAGGAAATGACACTGACATCAGCTGGATTTTCAATGGCAACAATGACGGGAGCAGCCAAGAGCAGCTTCTCCCAGGTCCTCTTCAGGTTTATGATGGAGATGCCATCACTTTTCCTTTTGTAGATGTACTGTTCCATCTGGAAGTCAAGGTTGGTGCCGCCCAAATGCGTTCCTGCTGCAAGGAATTTGAGGACATCCTCCTCCTTCATCTGCAGGACATCAAGGGCTCCGGACATTGTAGAAGTTTCCCCTTTAAGTTATGACGGGAACCAGAACAACGCTGTATGGACCCTTGTGTGGGTAGCGCGGAAAAGCCAACTGACATGTTTTACTAACAGATGCAGTCCTGGATATGCTCACTAGGGTATCCCAGAAAATTTGGAAGACAGATAACTAGCCAACTGACTGGAAAACATCCGTATTTATTCCTATTCCCAAGAGAGGTGACCAAACAGAATGTGGGAATTATTGAACAATGTCACTAATACCACAGGCAAGCAAAATATTGTGGAAGGTCATAAAAAATTGGTTAGATGCAGGGCGGGGGGGGAGGGCTGGGAGGGGAGAGAAATGCAGCAATAAATGATGGAAATCCAAAATCTCTGTAAATGCTCATTAAAATTATTTAAAAAAATAAAGCTTAAAAAAAAGAAAAAAAAATTGGTTAGAACAGTACATAGAGAACTACCAGAAGTACAAGCTGGGCTAGAAGAGCTTGTAGCACCAGGGATATCATTGCTGATGTCAGGTGGATCTTGGATGAAAGCAGAGGGTATCAGAAGAATGTTTATTTGTTATTGACTAAGCAAAAGGCATTAGACTGTGTGGATCTTAGCAAAGATGGCTAACATTGAGAAGAATGGGAATCCCAGAAAACTTCTAGGCCAAGAAGCTGTTGTACCTATTCAATCTGTGTGCTGAGCAAACCATTTGAGTATGTATATTCTACATGAAGAAGAATGTGGCATAAGGATCAGAAGAAGACTCATCAACCACCTGCATTATACAGATGACATAATCATGTTTACTTAAAGTGAGAAGGACTTAAAGCACTTACCGCAGAAAAATAAAAGACTAAAGCCTTCAATATGGATTACATCTTAACATCAGGAAGATGAAGATCCTCACCACTGGGATGAAAGGCGATATTATGATAGATGGAGAAAATATTGACTTTGTCAATAGATTCATCTCCTGTAGATCCACAGTCAACACCCTTAGCAGACGCAGCCAGGAATTAAAAAGATGTATTCCAATGCACTGAGGAGCAATGATGTCAGTTTAAACACTAAGGTAAGCTTGATTCGAGCCATGATCTTTTTAATCACTTGCTGTGCATTTGAGAGACAATGAATAAAAGAAGACAGAAGAACAATTGAGGCCTTTGAGTTGTGATGTTGGAGAAGAGTACTGAATAGCCCATTATCCCATAGACTGCCAAAAGAACAGATATGTCTTAGAGAAAAGTACAGTCACAGTGTTTCCTTAGAGGCAATGATGACAAAGCTTCATCTCATGTGCTTTGGATATGCTAGTAGGAGAAGCTATTCCTTGGAGATGGACATCATGCTTGGAAAAATGGAGGGTCAACGAAAGAGCAGGAGACCTTCAACAAGATGGATTGACAGTGACTGCAGCAGTGGGCTCCATTAGGTGATGAGGAGTAGTTGTGAGATGATGAGAGATGCCCAGAGCAGGGCAAAGGTTCAGATCTGTTGTTCATAGGGTTGCTGAGTTTTATTCAACTTGATGGCACCTAACAACAACCAAAAAACTTTCCTTTTTCTGCCACTCTTTCTTTATTGAGCTAATTGTAACTGTCTTGTCCAGTGATACTGAGAGGTGATATTGCGCCCTCTCTTGGTTACCCGGTTTTCCTTTCATGGCCTGTGACCAGCAGTGTGGCTAGTGCAGTAGCGTAACAGTCTAGTCCCCTATCTCTGAATAGGACACACACAGTGGGGGTGCAATTTGCCACGTGGTCTGATCTCGTTTTTTCCAGCTTTCTGAGATTTCTTCAGTCACACTTGAACTTCTGCTTAACTTTGAGAATTTCAGCAGGTCTCTTCATGACTTTGACCACTTTTCATCTTATTAAATAGGTGGACGTTTATTTAAGGAGCCCTAGTGGCACAGTTGTTAAGCATTCGTGTGCTAAACACCATGTCAGTACTTGGGCTTCCTCAGCCGCTACATGGAGAGAGATGGAACGATATGCTTTTGTAAAGGTCACACCCTTGGAGACGCCATGGGAGGTTCTATTTTGTTCTCTAAGGTTGCTCTTTCACACTCTCTCTCATTGCCAGCACATTAGGACCAACTCATAACTGACCCTCCATTGGATGTCTAAGGCAGTAAATGACATAGGAGGAAGTTGCCCAGCTCTTTCCTTGTGGGGCAGCTGGTCGATTCGAACCTCCAGAGAGGTGCAGCCTTTGCACTAGCAGCATTGCTGAGTCAGAATGTTCAAGATATTTTCAATCATAAGTGATCTCCACCCGCCCCAAACAATCGAAGCCCATTGCCATGGAATTGATTCTGATGTATACCATCTATTTTGGAAGCAGGAGTGGCATCCACTTCTTAAACCACATGCCTCTGGAAACTCTGAACTTTGATAAATGTCAAACGGCTTCAGGCCGTTTGATCATAGGGTCGCTATGAGTCGTGCTTGACTTGACGGCAATCAACAACAACCTCCCTCATGCTGCAGGACAGAGTAGACCTACTGCACAGGGTTGCTGAGGCTCTGATTCATCTTTATAGCAGCACATGACCTCATATTTCTTCTCTGGAGCAGTTGGTCGATTTGAACTACCAACTTTCTAGTTATCAGCCAAGCACTTTAACCACTGTGCCACCCAGGGTTCTAAATCAGAGGAACGGAGATAGGGGAAAAAATAGTTCCCCCGTAAAAACCTGTCACTTTTGGGAACAACAGAGTTAAATTTTGCCTTGCAATACCTGGTCAGTGAAGGTGATGTTCTTAGATGAGATCAGGAGCATTCAGGGTGGTATGGCCATAGATAAGGTTATGTTCTTAGAGATTCAGTTTTCAGTTCAGATGTTAGGAACAACAACTTTCATGGTAGACCCTGGAGGCCTCTGCTCGTCCCCTGGAAACTGACCTCCAGGGAAGCCCAGGGAAATGCCACCTAGAACACTGGAAATCACTGACATCCTGGCTGCTATTAGGTCGAAGCTCCAGGAGGAGGTTTTCCATTTCTAGTAGCTCTTGGTGGATGGTTTGAATGCCCAGTTCACAACAGAGGGAAATTCAACTCAGGTCTAAAGTGGCCCGAGAGTTAATCTTGCTTTCGACCCAGTGAAATGCTCTTGTTTCATTCCATTGGCATGTTCTCAGTAGGGAATTCTTTAGATCTAGTTCTATATTCCATCTTGCTAATGACTGAGTTTAAGGTTCATGAAAATGAGGTGATCAGGGCAGCAGCCATGAGCTAGAGAGCCTTAAGGTTGGCTTCTGGAGCAGTGGAAGGTGGGTGGCTGCATGGATGGATGGATAGATTGATGGAGGCTGAAGCCAGAACGAACCGGGCTCGTGGTCTGGGGCTGCACTGTGCTGGTTCAGAGGGGCATGCATGTGCCTTGTTCCATTACCACACACACTGCACTCAGCCTTAGAAATCAGCAACCTGGCAATCAAGGACAAACCACCCTATTATTTGGTGCTTCGAGAAACACACAATATTACAGTTAAGAAGAATCATGCAAACTAGAGAAAACATGGTACAGATTTTAGATTTAAAAACGACAAAATCACTGCCATTTAAACCCTACACACTCAACTGGGGCAGTGGGGCTGCTCTCAGACCTTTCAGCTTTGCAAGAGTTGTGTAGTGAGCCTTTTGTTTGAATCTCCTGAATTTAGTATTTTTACCTTTTTTTTCTATTTTGGTTGAAAAAAAAATTTTTTTTTTTGCCTGTGATTTTCTTGAGTCCACAAAAGCATGAGGAGAGAATTCAATTGGCCTGACTGCTCTGATCCAGCTGTATGAAATAGCCCTTCTAGAACATCCGAGTTGGCCCACTTATCTACCAGCAGCATGCTATGGCTTTTCTAGTTTTATGGCAGTGAGGCTGAGGTTCGTACTACTTTAAAAGTGACTCCAAGTCATCTGTCCCAAGTGGTTTCTGCCACTTTCCACCTGACTGACTTCAAATAAAAATGTGTTCTGTTGTGTCTAGGAAAAGAATCAAACCACCTCTAATCCCCCGCCACCTGGGGGTTTCACTGATACAAATCTGGGCTGAGAGTTACTGGTCCTTTCCAAGGCCATGAGAGTGGATGAAGTATTTCCGAGGGGTGCCAAGTCATGGGTGTCTTCTTACCCTTTGAAGTGGGGGTTATTCTCTCCATGTTGCAGGAAACTGAAGTTATGTTCCTTGCTCAAGGTCAACCAGATTGTCTGTCAACACAGTGGCTTTGATCATGATACCATCAGTCAGATCAGTGTGAGTGGCCATCCTTGCCTCTGCTTTTAGTCGACAGAGGTCCCAGAAGGATGCTGTAGCCCTAGGTGGGAAGTGATGATTTGAAAAGAATTTCTCTAATGTTGGCATGCTTTTGCCACCTGATCACAGCCAATCTTACGCTAGTGGAATGTTTTGCATGAGTGTATGAAGTTGGGGTCAGTGTCTTACATTGTCTCATGGACTTTGGAGTTGATCAGGCTCTACCCTATGTCCATGGTCTCTCCTGAAATGTTTGAACCAGCTAGAGAAGAGAAGATTGGAGGAGGCATGGATGAGCAAAAAAAGGTAGCATTGCCATTCTAAAAAGAACTAACATTTTAGTGTGTTACTGTTTATGATCCACACCAATATCCAAACTATATGAGACATATGTTGTTGATTGCCATCAAGTCGAGCATGATGGACAAAAGACCTGGAGCCTTTCTATAACTATCGTTTCTCAAAGATCAGTGTTTCCAGAGGCATGTTGTTTAGAAAGTGGATGTTTTTATCCCATTTAACAGTTAAGAGACTGAGGGTCAGGCAAATACTCATAGCTGGGGCCTCAGCCAGCCAGCCAGCCAGCAAGTGGGTAGATGAGACTCCTTCACTCTGATCTAGCTTTCTCTGTGTCTCCTACTTACCATCTCATCTTTGGTTTTGGGTAAATATTACCCATTTTATCTCACACAGATTTTGTTTTTTTTTGAAGGAGCACAGTACTTACGGGTGACACTATCTGTTACTTAGCCAGAAAGGTGCTCTCATTTGATGTGGTTTCAGTAGAATGCTTACAGGGCATCTCAGCATGACGGCCTTAGAATTCCTGATCGTCCAGTAAGTCTGGTCTTTATTAAGAAGTTGAGTTTTGTGCTAGCAGAGTTCTGCTTTTGCATACATTGGGTTGCCATGGATTGGAATTAATTCCATGACGACAGGTATAGAGTATTGGTATCATATATAATTTAGGTCACAAGAGAGCTCACAAGTCTTTGTCCACATGCTGGGGACCCTGACTGTGAGTGTTTGGTCATTTCTATCTCTGTGGGGATGTTGGCAATATGACCACAGCTCCTGGTATCTCAGAGAAAACCCTGAGGGCAGGATGTGCCTGAGCTTTTGCTTGGCGTTACCTTCACAGCCTCCCCTGCTGCTCCTTCTCCAGCCGTGGCAGCAGGCCAGTTTGGTTCCATAGTGACAGACTCCTTGCTGGCCTGCCCATGCTGACAGCCCATGATTCCTCGGACTGGGGAGAAAGAACCAGATGTTAGAACAGAGAAAGCAGAAAGGGCAAAGGGCAACACAGACTCTTCCCTGCTACTCAGTAAACTGGAGAGATTACAGTTACCTGTTGAATTTCAGCCAAGACTGCAGACTCACACTTATGGTTGTCAGGTCATAACCAACTCATAGCCGACCCTCCAGTGGGTTTTTGAGATGCTGTAAGTCACCTGGGAGAAGATGGCACATCTCTTTCCCAGAGAGCCACTGGTGGATTTTAATCACAAGAGAGCTCTGGGCTAGCAGCCCAGCTTCCTTAAACAATGACCAGGAGTGCTAAAGGGGAGTTTGAAATCTGGATTAATGGGATGTCAACTTCTATTCCCATCCCTTGCCTTCCCTACTGACTGGTTTTGTCTATTCCTTCTTCCTTTCCCAGGATTAAAAGAATGGGGTTACTTAAGTGTAGTTTTAGAGTCAAAATCAGAGGAGTTACAACTGGAAAGCAAAGTTGACAGGATTCCAGCTTGTTCGCTGTAGACACATCATTAGGAAAGACCAGTCCCTGGAGAAGGACATCATCCCTGGTGTAGTGGAGAGTCAGCGAAGATGAAGGAGGCCCTCAATGAGAACGGCTGACACAGTAGCTCAGTGATGCCTACAGCATGCCAGTGACCATAAAACTGGTGCAGGCGCTGGCATTGGCGAAGGCAGTTTCATGCGTAAAGTCACCATGCATCAATGCCACCTTGATGGTAACTAGCAGCATTTACACAATCAAACGAAGGAACAAGAAAATGGCCCCCAAATTGTGCTCCTGAGTCTTCTAGAGTGCGAGTTTTCAGAGCTGTGCCACATCGATGCCCCTGCGAGCCAATTCTGCCCATCTCCTTGCTGAGTGGTAACACCACTACCTAGCCCTGTGGCTCTGTCCCAGACAAGAGGGCTGACCTTCCAGTCTCTTGGCCAACAGGAAGCCACTGAGCAACTTGGAATCTCTGCACAATCAAAACTAGTCAGAGTTGGAAGAGTCCACAGGAATCCTTTGAGAAGCCTTCTCCTGTTACCAGAGAGGAAACCCAAGCCCAGTGACGTGGAGTCTCATCTCTAGCACAAGCACATGTCAGGGATCCCCACCCAGGGCTCCTCAGTCCACAGTTCACCGAACTCTTCACAGCAGAGCAGCATTTGGCAGGGGTTTGCATAGAGGGCCAGATGGTAAATGTTTTAGGTTTGGGGGCCTCCACTGTGTCTCTCATACATAGTCATCCGTGCCAGAGCACAGTGTAACTGTAGACTCATACTTGGTGGATGTAGCTATGTGCCAATAAGATTTTATCTAGAGACACTGAAATGAAATGCAAATTTCAACTACCTTGCAAATGTCACAAAATATGAGTCTTCATTGGCAATTCCCCCCTTTTAACAGTTTATAAATGTGAAACCTTTCTGAGGCCACATGTAAACAGTGCCTAGGCAAGCCAGAGGCCTGAAAGCTGAACCCTCCCTACCAAGTACCCTTAAGTGGGGAGGCCACGAGTGAAGGTCTCTTTGTCAGCTTCATGCTGTAGAATTGGTATGGAAGAGTGCTCTCAGACTTGAGGAGAAAGTATCTGTCTTGCTGTGTAGTTTGTAGAGGTTATGGCTGTTTTCTCATGCATATTAAATACACTGTGAAATGTTTCCTGGGCTTTTGAACAGACAAAGAATGCACATTTTACCATGTGCTTTAGGTTGCAGGACTGAACTGTATGCAAGTTAATCATATTTTAGTCAAGGTCACAAAGTCCAGCAGCCTTGTGGCTTTCCCTTATGGTCGACCTCTTCCATGAACGTGATTATTCAGTTAAAAGCCACAAGGAATGGTCTGGGACATTTCATTAACTAATGAAATACAAATGCAAGGATGATTTTCTGATTTACTTCTTCTCAAGGGGACATTTATTTCATCCTTAATGGAATTTTTTGGGGGAATTTCTGTCAGCCCTGTAACTATTTAGAATGGGAGTTTCCTGTTTGACACCACTAGCACTGGTGTGGGGCTGTCCTGTGCATTGTAGGATGAGGAGCAGTATTATTGGGCTCTACCCATTAGTGGGACTCCCTCACCCCAAGCAATGACAACAAAAATTGTCTCTCAGAGGGAGCTCTGTTGGCCTACTGGCAAGAAGCTATACTGCAATCCCAGAGGCACAGGGTTTGAATCTACCAGATGCTTTGTTGGAGAAGGAGGGGCAATCTCCTCCTGGTCTGCCAAATCTCCCCACTTCTTCCCATTGAGAACCACTGGTTTAGAGTGAAATATTTATTACTTTCTATTTTTCAGAAGTGAGCTCTGATGGCCTAGTGGGTAGGGAGCTGTGCTGCCAACGCCCAGGAAGGCAGTTCGAATCCATCAGCTGCTCCACAGGAGAAAGATGGGCAGTCTTCTCCCATGTGACTTACAGACTCTGAAAACCCACTGAACTCATTCTGACTGGACAACACATAACAATAACAACATCTTGTAGAAGTAACTCTAGGAACACAGTGGGTTAAGCATTGGGTTGGGAAGTAAAAGCTCAATGGTTCAGGTCTGCCAGCCACTCAGCAGGATAAAAGTGAGGCAGTCTGCTCTTGTGAATGAAAATTTACAAACTCTGGAACCCTCTGGGGCAGTTCTGCTCTTTTCTGTGCACCAGAATTGACTCAATGGCCTGTCTACTTTTCAAGCACTGGCTTAGGCACAAGGAGCCCTGGTGGCATACTGGGCTATGTGTTGGGCTGTTAGCCTAAAGGTCAGTGGTTTGAACCCACCAGCCACTCAAGGCGGTCTGTCCCCATAAAGATTTATAGCCTCCAAAACCATACAGATCAGCTCAAGTCTGTCTTCAAGGGCTGCAAGAGTCAGAACTGACTCAGCAGCACTGGGTAGGTGTTGGCACATAAAGTGTATTGATGAGAAGGACTCCTTCTTTGCTCTCATGAGGTCACAAGCTATTATAAACAGATTGCAGTACTGAATAGCATGTGAGGTGTCATTGCAATGCTCTGGAAAAGAGTCTGGCCGAGAAAGAACAACCTCGCCCCTCCAATAACCTAATCTGTGTGCTGCTCACATGTCTGCAGGTGATGCCACAACCTCCACCTGGGCTGCATGGAGCTAGAAACCCCTGAAAAAAGGAAACCAAAGGATGGTGGACATCAACAGAGTGAGTATCAAGTGCTCAAGCGTGGCAATATCCTCAGGATATTTTTTATTTTAATATTTAAGAAATTGAGACATAATTTATATAAGAAGGAGGAAGGCCCAGCAGGAGACCCAGGAATGCTCAGAACAATAAGAGAAACACAGTCTAGTACAGTGCTAGGAAAACCAGAGGTGGAAAGGGTTTCTGGAGAGAGCATGAAATCTGCTCTAGATGTTGCGAGGCCCTGTAACAGGGTGGTTAATAGTCTTCTGAGTTTTACTCCTGGCTCGACTGTATGTTGGCTCTGTGTCCCTCAGCAAGTTACTCCTCCTTTCCACATCTCAGCTATCCTCTTTTTAAAATGAGGAGAGCCACAGGACTTATTTCAAGGGGTTTTGTGGCACTAAAAGAATTCATTAAAATACTAATTCTTAGAAGCAAAGGTGGTGAGACTTCATCTCATGTACTTTGCATATTATTGCAAGGGCCTAGTCTTTGGAGAAGGACATCATTCTTGGTAAAGTAGTGGCTCATTAGGAAAAAAAGGAAGACCCTTAGGGAGATGGATTGATACTGCAGCTTCAACAGTGGACACTGATTGTGAGGACGGTGCAGGACCAGACCATGCTTTGCTCTGTTGTTCTTAGAGTAGCTGTAAGACAGAATCAACTCAATGGTACCTTCCAGCAGCACTGGGGCTGTGAACAGTGACTGACTGACACAGTAAAGGCTCCACAGCTAAGGCCTTCTGTCCATGTAAGGCATCTTGTCCATCTTGAAGGCTCTAAGAACTGTAAGTCATTGCTGCCAAGTGGATTCTGACTCATGGTGACCCTATAAGGTAGAGTAAAGCTGTCCCATAGGGTTTCCTAGGCTGTCAGTCGTAACGGGAGCTGACTGCCTCATTTTTCTTCAGGGAGTGTCTGGCGAGTTCAAACCGCTGACCTTTCAGTTAGCAGTCAAGTGTGTAAGCCATCATACCATCAGGCTCTTCCAGAAACCTACAGACTGTTAATAGTCAGAAATAGCAAAGGTTTTTGTAATACACAAAACTCTCCACAGAAATAAACTCAGTGAGCTCCTACAAGATACCTAAATGGTTAAATGTGAAAACTAACAAAAATGAAATTGAATTTATTGAAATATGATATATATTTTTAAAAGCCTAATTAGAAACTTTGTTGAAAGAACCCAGAATCCCTTGTACAGACGGATCGCCAAAGTAATTTTCATATGTTTTAGTTAAAATAAATTATTTGAGAAGAATATTGCCTGGGGTTAACTTAACAGAAAGAAGTTACCAGAAGATGAAATTCATGTACTGTTTGCACATTACTACAACTCTCCAGAGAAATCTATTTCTCTGGCTTTATTGCTTACACATGGTGGCCTTCAGGCGAAAAGGTGAAACTGAGAAATCTGAGGTGTATTAATTTCTTCCAAGTCATTGTTTTTAACATTGTATAAAATGCCACTTGTAAAATGCTCCAAAATGTTAATGAATAACACTTGTGCCATCAAAAACTTGTTAATAAAGAAAGATTACTGATTCACTGTAAAGAATTCCTTTCCCAGTCACAAATACATCTTAGTGTTACTGCTCTTTTGGGAGATAGCATAAGTTTGTAATCTAAAGTAACATTTTGCTTGTGCTCCTTGGAGGTAAGGGTGGTGAAGTTTCATCTCACATCCTTTGGGCATGTTGCAAAGACAGGCTATTCCTTGGAGAGGGACATCATGCTTGGAAAAGGTGGAGGGATGGTGAAGGAGAGGAAGACCCTCAACCAGGAGCATTGACATGGTGACTGCAGCAATGGGCTTGAGTGTGTCAGAGATTGTGAGGTTGGCACGGGATAGGACAGGGTTCAGACCTGTTGTTCATAGAGCCACTATAAGTCATGCTCAACAGCATCTAACAACTATCTATGTATCTCTATGTATGTATGTGTGTGTGTGTATTTATATATATGTATGTGTGTGTGTGTGTGTGTGTGTGTGTATCACTCATTCATTGCCATTGAGTTGGAATCAACTCATAGCTGACTCTGCAGCAGGGTATCAGAAACAGTAAATCACATGGGAGGAGATAGCTCAGCCTTTTCCTACTGAGCAGCTGGTAGATTCAAACAGATGTGACAGTTTATTTCTGTAAAGATGACAGCCTTTGAAACCCTATGGGATAATTCCACTCTGTTCTGTAGGGTCACTAAGAGTCGGAATCAGCTCTGTGGCACTGAATTTGGGTGTGATGATGCAATGTTAAGCTCTATGCTATTAGTTGGCAGTTTGAAGTAAGAAGCTGCAGTCTCAAAGGCACGTGGTTAGAATCCACCAGTTGCTCCACAGGAGAATGGGCAGTCTCTTCTTGTGTGATTAACTGCCTCTGAAAACCCACTAGAGGGTGAGCTATGGGTCGGTTCCACCTCAGCATGCAACAACACCACCACCACTACACAAACACACAGAGTGCTCGCTCTCTTCTTCCCTCCTTCCTCCTTTCCTCTTTCTCCTTCCCCCTATATATAGCTCTGATATTACCCAATGGTAAGGAGCTACACTGCCAACCCAA